GGGTAAGCAAATTCACCAGGCTCGTCTTCCACAAGAACGTATCGAAGATCCAGCACAAGGAAGACTTATCACCAAGCCAAAACCATGCTCGAGGTTTAGAGTTTAAAAGCTCAGTTGCTACTCGACGAGCATACTGTGCAGTCGGCATGGCTGTGACTACACAAAATCAAATGTCAGATACTTGATTAGAGGATGTCATTCACCTTGCGATATACCGACACGTTTTTGAAGGAGAATCTGTTCAATCGGCTTGTATAATGAATTCTCCGGCAAGAAAAGAGGTCTTGAGATGTTGCTTGTAATACCACCAGTAAGTAGCTATTATAGCGGATGCACGTCAATCACGATACACAAATGCGGACAACAGCGTATTCGTACATTGACCACTTTGATACTAAGGTCTTAGGGTCAGCCCGTACCTATCGATGACAAAACCACACCAACTTACTTGAACGGCGCCAACTCTACGCGTAGCGTATTGCTTAGTGCATGCACCGCGGCTTTAGATCCATTATATGACGCGCTGAAGGGAAGGGGGAAGATACCAGCGATGCTGCCTACGTGAGCGACGCGTCCGTTCCCAGAGGATATGAGAAGTTGAACAAATTCTTGAACCATAGCTATAGCGCCGTAAAGATTTACCTCGAAGAGATTTCGAGCGGCACTCATGTCCATGTCGCTTATAGCCATTATATTCTCTGTCACTTTGAAGGTGAGGACATTGGATATGGCTGACTATATTCAAACCCTGCCTTGTCCTCTATAGATGCAGCATATGAATAATGATGGAACCGGGGACCATAATGACAGGACTCACGCATTATTAACCAGAATATCGAGTTTTCCTCCAGTCATCACGCTGAGTTTATCGCGAGCATCGCGTATGCTTTCGATTTCCGTGACGTCCAATTTCAGTACGGTAATCCCAAGTCTCTCCAATTCCAACATCGATTCAAGGTTTCGGGCTGTGGCAAAGACACGTTCCCCTGCAGATGGAATATAAGAGCTCCAGAGCGCTCGTATACCAGTTCAAAACTACCAGGCGTACCTCGAGAATGAAATTCTTTGGCTAACGCGTGCCCTATACCGCCAGCGCTGCATCCGGTTATCAAGACAGTTCTCTTGACAGTTGGAGATAGGACGATGTTCTTTTGAACACTACGTGCAGCAAAATCATCTAACCCAAACTGTCTGGCCATGATTTTATCCTGTGCAGTGAAGGAAAAGTAAGCTTCAGCCGAGAGGCACTCAGCGTCGAGGATACATACGAGTAGGGTCTTCGGAAAAAAGGTATTCAAAAGCCAGGACACTGTAGTCATGTTTGCAAGCCAGAACCATGCTCTAGGTTGAGGTTTCAGGACTTCTGATGCGACTTGCTGAGCATATTGCGCTGTAGGCGTTGCCTTCACTGTGGAATACATGGATGAATTGTGCCGTGAGTGGAATCGAGATAGACATTGAGTGATGCCATGTACCTTTGGACATCTGCAACCGTTTCTCGTGATATAATTGTTCCATAGGCTTATAAAGCGAACTATCTGGTAGTGACTTGGAGCGGTGGATATTGCTTTTGACTGCGCCAGTGATGAGCTGGAAAGACATGGTTAAAAACCTAGGGAAGCTATCAGGAACGAACATACATTCACGACCTTGATATTGCTGTAGAGGTACATGTTCAAACACACAACATGGACAACAAGTAAGGAGACTTACTCAAAAGGTGCCAGCTCTATCCGCAACGCATCCGCGAGAGAATTCAGCGCAGCTTTACTCATATTGTAGGCGCCGTTGAAAGGGAAATGCACAACCCCGCTCATGCTACTGGTCTGCACAATGCGAGCATCATCAGAAGCTAGCAGGAGCGGCAGGAATTCCTTAATCATGGACATGGGAGCAAAGTAGTTGACTTCGAAAAGAGCTCTGAGCTCATCCATATCCAAGTCAGTTATGGCACTGGGTAGTGCTGAATTTGAAGAAGGTTACAGACATTTGGAGATGAAATGTATAGTGTTAGGCTTGCCTTGTCCACTGAGAATCCATGAGTATGCAGATTGAATTCCAGAGTTGGAAAGATTTACGCATTGTTCATCAGGATATCGAGCTTTCCGCCAGTCAACGAAGCAACTTCATCAACAGCCGTTCGTATACTGTCAATCTCGGATACATCCAATTTCAGCAAAACCACACCCTCAAGCACTTTTAAATCAGACATAGATTCCGGACGTCGAGCCGTTGCAAATACTTTGAATCCTGTTTTGCATGTCGAAGGCGTAAGTAAGCATTTTAGAATCATTTAGTGCGAACGAGACACACCTCTAGAGTGGAATTCCTGGACAAAAGCATGGCCGATACCACCAACGCTACAACCAGTTATCAAAACGCTCCTTTGTCTCATGGTGGTTGACTGTTTAGTGTGGGCGATAAAAATATTTACGCGTAGTTTGGTATACATAGGTTGAATTCATACACATCTGTTGTGTTCGAGTATATTTAGTTTCGGAGGTCGGCATTGATTTTCATAGAGACCAGCGCCAGTCCCTTCATCGTATCGAAGACGAAGCCCGAGCTCGGGGCCTCGGGCCGACTGTTATCTACTTCCGAGTCTCCCGAACAACTTCCAAGTTTAGAAAGTTCTTATTGCCACATGAAACTCATGGAAGACGCAAAGCTCGTAACCTGCTCTCAACCGCCTTCTTTCAGGGAGAGAAGATGCCTCTTGAGCCCATCCCGTTGAACGATGGAAACAAGGTGAATATCGCGAACTGGTAGCCCGCGGTTATATTGACGGTTTTGACAGATCCCAAGCATTGCCTATGGGACAGGCTCCAAGATGAAGTTCCACGACATCACACAATACATTGAACAAGCCATCGAAACTGGGTTCTCGCATATCGATACTGCAGTGTGTGCGTCCTCGTTGTCTTCACCTCTCACCTTTCTCCATGCCCATCAAGTTATGCATTGATGCAGTTTATAAAACCGAAAAATTTGTCGGGAGAGCCATCAAGGAAAGCGGACTAGCACGTTCGGAATTATTTGTCACGACCAAGTATTTTGGAGAGGTGCCCGTTCAGAAGAGTGTTAGAGAGAGTTTAAAAAACGTGAATTTGTTGAACCATCTGTTATAAGTAGTACCTTCTCTAACGCAAAATTACCTAGCTCGGTCTGCACTATTTGGACCTATATCTGATACATCAACCTCGAGTCATACCTGACCTTGTCGAAACGTGGAATGAGTTCGAGAAAGTACAACAAGATGGATTGGCCAAGTACGGTGCAATCTTTCGGCTCATTGTATACTGTGATATTGATTTTGTTGTATGCCCTAGGAGCATTGGCGTCAGTAACGTCGTCGATGTACAGCAACTTGAGCATCTTATCAAACTATCCAGAGTTAAACCTGCTGTGAATCAGGTAAAATGTTCAATGCAGTGGGGAATGTGCTTGGAAGAAAGCTATCCTTCCACCTTCTGCCATAACATAACAGACCCATGATTGACATAACGCTCTTCAGATTAAGTTACATCCGTACAACTATCTCGAAATGAAACCGATCATCGATGCATGTGCCAAGCATAATATTGTAGTTGAAGCTTACAGCAGTCTTTCGTACGTTCCCAATTCAATCTACTGATATCTCTTCTCAAGAGGTTCTACAATCCTGCAATGCAGACCGATAACTACCTATCCAGGTGGACCTGTTGACGTGCCTCTCAAAGCTGCCGCCCAGCGAATCGGTGCCACCCCGACTCAGGTGGTGTTCTTGTGGGTCAAAGCAAAGGGTGCGGTTATTGTCACGTACGCTGCCTTGTCCTATTTATCTCTTGGTTTGATTTCTCAAATACCATCTTACTCCATCCTCTACTGTTCACTCTCTCAGAACCACCACCACTAAAGCTCATATGGAAGAATACCTTGCCGTAGCGGATTTGCGTGAGTACTACAGATTGCAATTTAGATTCTATGAAACTCATTCGATGTCTTTTGCTTCTTTGATTTGTTCCTTCTGCTGCCATCAAACAGCTTCGCTAACTAAAGAGGAGGTTATCGCTATCGACACTGCAGGTGCTCAAGGACCCCCGTCTGACATTGTTACTAAACTACGTGCGACAAATACCAAGGAAAAGATTTTGGTAGCTCTGGTCGTAATGATGTTTGGGGTATATGGATTGTCCATGTTCGGACGGATGTGTCAATGAGGGCTACTACATGGAGAACATGTTCCAGAAATATGGGTAACAAACAAAAATCTACAGAACGATGATGATATCTATTTGTTGAAGGTCGCAGAAGGTAAGATAGTAAAATGCATTTGAGGTGCCTTCATCTATGCGCGATCATAACCGAAAACCCACAGCGCGCGAAGCAACGGCACGACTGAGCCCTAGCCAATCTATTCAGAAGCGACGCTCTTCTGTACTGCGTAGCGTGGTCTTACATGCTCGCTCATTATACGAGGACATTCGTCCACCGCGCTGCGCACGATACCACTTTCGACACCTGCAAGGTCATTTCCGCGAGATGTTCCTCGGTATCATCGCTGTGGAAATAGGTCCCATCATCACGATTGTCCTTTGACCTCGAGGATTACACGAATACGAGACGATCCTGAGTCTTGACCTACTTTGATCGGATGAGTGTCTTTTGTCTGGTGACGGAAAAAGACGAACGTGTCTGCCGGGTTGGGTAATGTTGTAAAGTGCAGAATATCAGATGAACGGAACAACCTAGCGTTTTGGCTCGTGCTTAGGCGGCGTTGAGCACGTAGACCACTTGATACAGATTCGACAACCGGAATGTGTCCCAGTTAGATACAAAAGCTTTTCAAGGAGCTAAATGTTCACACCGAGTCGTACTGAACCAGATAGATACTCGATGCCATCCAAGGCATTGAGGAAGATGATTGGGGTAGATTGTAAGAGATTGTATAGGAGAGGCTTGTGAAAAGATGTGTAAGGAGTAGAAAGCTATCAGCAGATGGTGGTGAGCGAATGCTATACTCCCTGGTAGTATATCGGTCAGTACACGCGCCTGTCATTTTCACCTTACCGCGCGAAAGCTGGGTTCGACTCCCAGCCAGGGAGGTAACTTTTTCCTAAACGTAGATTCTTTCTCTTTTCCAACGGTTCTATGTACATGATCTCAACTTCCTGAGTACTGACGGCCAGCGGTTACAGTTAAACTTACTCCGCGTTTCTCAGTCTACACGTATATACGCGTCTCCTGACAGTACATGTCTTCTTCAATGATCGATTATCATCTATCCATCGATATTTGAATGCAGAGGGCTGCTCAATTCTAATCGTTTTGAAAATGATTTAAATCACTTGTGAAATTTAGGAACAACCGATAATGCCGACGGTGCTTACATGAGGCACA